GATGATTCACGCCCGGGTCGCCCTTCCACGTCAAAAACGGATGACAATATCGAAAAAATCGGTAATCTAATTCGATCTGCCGTCGGTTAAGTATTCGTGCGATTGCTGAAAAAAACGATCCGAATTGTGGAAAGACAAGTCATGGGTTCTCCACCAAGACAATGCGCCGGCTCATTCCGCATTGTCTGTCAAGAGGTTTCTAGCCAAGTTCAGCATCCCAGTGTTAGACCATCCGCCTTATTCGCCAGATCTTGCGCCGTGCGACTTCTATCTGTTTCCTAAGGTGAAATCTGCCTTAAAAGGAACAAGATTTGAGTCCGTTGAAGCTGTGAAAGAGAAAGCGGCACGCGTCCTGAAGGAGCTGACAGAAGAAGACTTCCAGCACTGCTTCAAACAATGGAAGATTCGCATGGAGCGTTGTAGGGATAGAGGAGGGGTGTATATTGAAAGTGATAATAAGTAAAAATGTATGAAATCAAAATATAAAATGCTTTACAGCGTCAGTCTCGTTATTTAATAGTCACACCTCGTACATTCAATATTTGGAGAGTTACTTTTAAAAAGTAACTTTTAATCGAGCACGTTAAATGTTTTAAAAGTAATACATTATCGTTATTCAAAAAATAACGATTCGTTACAATTCCCGTTATTTCTTTCGTTATTTTGAAGATTATTTTTTTCAGAATTTGCAGCAAAGTAATGGTAAGAGGACTATTATATCTATTATCTAAACATACCATTATCTAAAAAATGTGATTATATATTTTTAATAAATTGCTTTCTTTATAGTACAAACTCACGGCAAATAAATATCTCCAAATGTCTTCAAGTTAGAAAACTCTGCCTTTTCAAAAGACCACATGTTCATGGTAAAACAATTTTTATGATCGATCTTGAAGCAGCTGAAAGAAAGAAATTTATGGCCGATTCTTGGAAGAGAAAATTTTTTCTCTTCCAAGAGAAAAAATTTGAAAAAAGAGAAAAAAATGGTAACAGTACAAAGAATTATGGCTTACCCTAACTTACTTTCACTATCCGTTATAGTCCAGCCAATAAAATTTGTTTTTACTATCGACACGTACCTTGCCACCAATACTCTCCTATCCTGCTCTACCACCTAGTTCTCGTTCGAAAAGTGGGGCCGAAGGTATAAAAATTTTACCTGGACAAAATTTCTTCTGACACACAGTACAGAGTGCCAGTGCGTTGCGTCGCGAGCTTCACACAAAATCCACGGAACGATACACATAGCGATCTATGCAGATATTACGAACGTCTTCTGAGATTAAACTTCTCTCTTTCACGAAAAATTTGGTAAGTAACGATCTTCGTTAAACTTGTAACTGCATAGCGTTTTAAATGTTTAAAATATTGAAGAACAAAGTATTATAAAAAGGTGTGCAGGTTTATTTTATGTCAATAAAAGAAAAAATTAGACAGTAAGAGCCAAAGTACTGTTTATTCGGTAATATAAATTTACACACATGTAAATTCAAATTCTTCTAAATTGAAAGACGCAGAGACATAATCTGACGCAGAGACGTAAACATACGCGTTTCGGCTACTGATGGCCCTCTTCAGTGTTACATAATTTTCGTAATGATTTACAAACAAAATTTCGCTTACCGCCGCGAAAATTGACAGGAGCGCAGTAGATTTATGACGCGTTCTCGCACAGGTGGAGTCTGATGCTAAACATAGGAGACCCGCGTTTCATACTTCCATTTAGGAGGTAAGAAGCACGACTTAATGTGTTCCCACTATGCAGTTCTTAAGGAGCCGTACCAAATTTCCTAAGTTATTAAAAAATTGGAACATTAACTTATTTAGAGTCACGGATTTTAAATGAAGAAATAATAATTACAAACGACTCGGTCGCAGTACGTCAACAGCGGGTATCACTAAATAACAACAGTCAAATGCCAAAGAGAGCGTCCAGAATAAATACATACAATAATAATAAAAGAAAGGATTCAGCCAATTCAAAATAACACATTTGAGTTTGTACTGTAGCAGTGATTTGCATCTGCTTTCAATTTTGTGATTTTTACAATATTTTATATAACATGCTCTTTTTATTTCAATTCAATCAATTCTCATTTTAATGAAAATAATTACTTATTTTGAGTGTATATAAAATACATTTGCAGATTAATATTTGCATTCTTTGTACAATTTACTTCCATAAAAACTCCGATTTATGAATTTCGAATTATGATTTATGATTACTTAAAAGTGTAAAAGTCATTTCACATGTTAAGCTGTTGAAACGTGTAAATAAAGAATAAATAAATACATATAATAAATAGAGGACTGACGAGTGGGGGCATGTACAAAAAAAGTATCAAGTCAAATATGATAGAAAAAATGTCAAGCATACAAAAAAAGTCAATATATAAACAAAATTCCTGTCAATCCTTGCACACGCAATCAGATTCAAGAGTTATTTAAAATCGCACGGTACTAATTACCAATTAATTCAGTGTCTTTCTGAGCATTTAAAGCATTAATGTGATTCTATATGTGGCACATTTCCGCAATTAATCTTTTGTAGTAAGATCGCACTCTATGCAAAACGTTAACATTTGTCCAATCGAATTCATAGTTCTCATTAATATGGTGATTCTGCACTACAGTGAGATCTTGCAAGTTAATTGTAGGAACTCTCATATGTTCCTTGACCTGTGTTGACAATTTTCAACCTGTTTGGCCAATATAAACAGCGTCACACTGTGTACAATCAAGTACACTGTGTAGTTTATAAACTACATTTCTTATTGACCCAATAGGCAACTCATCTTTCTGTGCTCTAATTACAGGGTGTGGCGCCAAACTCCGGACAAAATTCAATTTGAAATTCTCGCCGTTCTATACCACTGGTAGATGTCGCGATTAGCGTTCAAATAGCTTGACGCATGTACTAAACCATCATAACCTCGAAACAGTCGCAATGTTGAAACCAAGTGCGGAGTATAACCGAAGAGCCGCGATTATCGAAAGTGTTCGCGCTGCGCGCACGGCGACAGAAATCATTCGGTTCTTCGGGTACCCGAGATCGACTGTGTATGATGTCATCGCAAAATACAATGAGTCGAAGAAGTCCAACGAAGATTTTGCAACACCGGCGAGGAAAACCCACTCGAAAGAGCGCATTGTCAGGACGCCCGACATCATTCAACGGGCTCAGGAGCTGATTTTTAAAGATCCAGGGCAGTCGATCCGAAAATTGTCGTCGGTTGTTGGTGTGAGCGAGAAAACTATGCGTCGAATCGTCGAGGAGGACCTCCGCTACAAGTCTTACATAATTAAAGTGAGACAGATGCTTTCTGAAGCCGCCAGGATAAAGCGAGTTGAATGCTGCAACCTGCTTTTGTGTTCCTTAAGAAACAATGCTGCCGGACGACTCATGTTTTTTTCTGATGAGAAAATTTTTACTGTGGATGCGAAAATCAATCGAAGGAATGACCGCTGGCTTGCCCACGACCCTGAAGATGTCCCCATTGTTGCAAGAACGAAATTTCTGGCGAATGTTCACGTGCTAGGTGTTATATCTAGTGAGGGTGATGTCATGCCACCGCATTTCTTTAACGAAGGGAAAAATGTCACAAAAGAAGC